GAGTGGGTGCTCCTTCAGGGATATGAGCACCCATGTGTGTGGTGTTGGGCAGGAAACCAGGGCTTCACTGAACTATACCCTCTTTCCCAGTATTGGTTATAGGAATGACTCAGACTTGGAGATTAACTAGAATTTATTCAGGTCTAAGAGAGGGTTTTGTTTTTTCTTTCATGTCTTAATGCAGTCTATTGTGCTTTGTTTTTGTCTTTATTGTTCATTGTGTGCTCACTGTTTTATATCCACTGAAGGAAGGAGGCAAAATACAAATGAATGTAGCTGCATCTCTGCATACTCCTGCTTAACATCTGCAGCCACCTTATGTTTAACACAACTCACTAGACATCAGCCTTCCTATGGACAATAAAGTCCAGTTCTGCTGTCAAAAGAAAAACAAACAGTGTTTTAGTTAGGGCCACTGTTGCTGTGGTGAACACTTTCATGACCAAGGCAACTTGTGGGGGAAAAGGTTTGTTTGGTTTACATATTCTGTACCTCAGGCTGGTTGCACAGCAGTTCTCTAGGATTACAAGTGTGTATTATCACATCTGACTATAGTTATTTTCACACTAGAAAAAATTCCTGTACTGACTTTAAAGAATCTGTACTACACTATTGTGTTGTTATTGTAGTTGTTTTTAAAGATTTGTTTGTTTATTTATTTACATATTATGTATATAATGTTCTGTTTACACACCAGAAGAGGGCACCAGCTCTTATTACAGATGGTTGTGACCCACCTTGTGGTTGCTGGAAATTGAACTCAAGACCTCTGGAAAAATAGCCAGTGCCCTTAACCTCTGAGCCATCTCTCCAGCCCGTTAAGTGTTTTTAAACCTACCTTTGAAAATGTTATTACGTGGCGTGTGGTGGTGACAGCACACCTTTAATCCCAGCCCCAGCACTTGGGAGGCAGAGATAGGCAGATCTCTGTGAGTTCAAGGCCAGCCTGATCAACAAGAGCTAGTTCCAGGACAGGCTCAAAAAAAAAGTTATTACTTTATGTTGCTCAGGTTAGAATTCGGTGCCTTGTGCATAGTGTAGGACAAATTCTCTACCACTGAGCTTCACCCCAGGTTTTTTGGTGTGATTTCCTGGTACCCCTTTTCTCCCCACAGAGAAAGAGGGTAAACCCTTCTGCTAATAGGCATTTTCTTATAATATTGGTGGCAGAGGGCTCCATGATGCAAATGCTTCCTTTTACTTTTTCCCAGAGAATACCAGTGTTTTCCAGGTAACATGTAAGCATCTCATTGTTAAGGTGCCAGTTAAAATACTTGGTTGCTAGGAGAGGGTTGTGTGGAGTGAACCAGGGCTGCACTTGATCTATACCATAGAGCTAATGTGTTCTTTTCCCTACCAAACTGAGACAAACGCTACCTACAAAGAGGCTTGTGCCTCAGGAGTTCTGTCATCGTCATCCATTTAACTCTTGTTAATAGGCACTGCATAGCAGCAGCAGTGTCTGGGGCTGATAGCCTGTGTGTCTGTTTATGCTTCTTCCAGCTCCGTGGATGAGAAAGGTTGAGTGCTACTCCAAGACTTTTATGTACCTCTTTGCTCCTGGACAGTGAAGGCTGGCAATAGCACGCCTTGTCCTAAACCTTCTGCCATCCATGAGCTGACACCCATGCCTCCTATTTGTTTCCCACATTATGTTATCCATATTCCATAAACCTTAGAATGAATGTGTGGGGTGCCAATAAGCTTAGAGACATACAGCCATGTGACTACCTACTCTCCAGTTTGCTGAGGAAATCTCGGTGGGAAATAATCCACTCTATGCTATGCTAATATCCATTGAGTCTAATTCAGGTTCCCAAAGGACTTTATGCCCTACTTTCATAGCTCATACTGCTACCCCCACCTCACCTTCTCCTAGCCTTATCTTGCCTAAAAAATTAAAACTCAGTGCAGCCTGCTTTTTCCCGTGCCTGCCATCTTGCCAAGGCCTCATGCTTTTCTTCCCAAGGGTGGGCTCCAACACAGCAAGCCTTACATTTCTACGTGAACATCACCCACAAACTCATCTTCACATCTAGTCTTGTCTTTCTATACTAGACAAAACATAGGTCTGTCTATCCTGGAACTTGCTCTATAGGCTAGGCTGCCCTCAAACTCAGATCCATCTGCCACTGCTTCCTGAGTGTTGGGATTAAAGGCATGAGCCACCACCACCTGACTCAAAACATGGGTCTCATTCATCTTTTAAAGATGATTATAGGGCTGGAGAGATGACTCAGAGGTTAAGAGCATTGCCTGCTCTTCCAAAGGTCCTGAGTTCAATTCCCAGCAACCACATGGTGGCTCACAACCATCTGTAATGGGGTCTGGTGCCCTCTTCTGGAATGCAGGCATACACACAGACAAAATATTTTATACATAGTAAATAAATAAATATTAAATAAAAATGATTATAAATGTACACTGTGTAACATTTAAAATATGTGAATGGGTCTGAGACTGTGGCTCCACTGGCAAAGTGTTTAGCATGCATAAAAATCTGGGCTTGATCCCTAGGTTACATAGACCTAGTAGGGTGATAATCTTTAATCCCAGAAGGTGGAAGTGAATCAGAATTCAAGGTTATCCTTGGCTACATAGCATGTTAGAGGCCAGCATAGAATACATAAGACCTTGTCTCAGAAGAGAGGGAAAAAAACCTAGGCCTTGGAGTGTAGCTCAGTAGTAGAGTACATGGTTTACATATGCAAGACTCTGTATGCATTCCCCACTACAAATACAAATTTTTAAAAAGAATGAGATACATATTTAAAATTCTATAATTTATATAGCACAGCAGGAGTGTAAGCATGCTGCTCTCCTTCCATGCAACACTGAATTTTGTCCTTGAGCAGGTCCTGGAGCACACACTGAGGGTGACATTTAGCAATCAGTAAACCTTTGTTTGAACTGATAACCCTGGTGAGTGAGCAAATGAGGTTCGCCCATGTTCTGACCTTTTCATTCATTGCCTTCCTCGTCCTTTATGTGTTGTTTCCCATGTTTTCCCATGACTCTAACCTGCTCTTTAACCCCTCTCCAGCTCATCCTCTCTACCCCATACCGTTTTTTTATTTTAATTATGTTTAGTGAGTGTGTGTGTGTGTGTGTGTGCACAAATGTGCATGCATATATGTACTATAGCATGCATATGAAGGGTCAGAGACAACTTTCAGGGGTTGCTTCTTTCCTTCTACCATGTGGGACCCAGGAATTGAATTCAGCTTATCAGGCATGATGTCATGTTCCTTTACCTGCTGAGTCATCTTGCTGGCCCTTACAACAGCATCTTTTTAAAGATTTGTCTTTCTTTACTTATATGTAAGTGTGTACATTTGTGTTGTGTGTGTGGTGGGGGGTGCTTCAAATGCCAGAAGAATGCATTGTGAACCAAACTTGAGTTCTCTGGAAGAGCAGCAAGTGCCAGGTGTTACACTTGTAACCCCAGCAATTGGAGTAGTGAAAACAGGATTCCTGGGGCGTTCTGGCTAGCCAGCCTACCTGATTCATAGATGCCAGGTTCATTAAGAGATTCTGTGTGTTGCCGATGGGGTGGCATGCGCCTTTAATCCCAGCACATAGGAGGATCTTTGTGAGTTCAAAGCCAGCCTGGTCTACAGCGTGAGTTTCATGACAGCCAAAAACACACAGAAAGCCTGTCTCAAAAAACAAAATTAAAAAAAAAAACAAAAAATAAAAAAAAAAAAAGATTTTGTGTCAAAAAAAAAAGATGAAGAGTCCTGTGGCCTACACACACACATATTCAGGTGACTTCTTATCTCAGCATCAAGAATCTGAGCTAGGAAGATTGCTTTTAGTTTGAGGCCAGTCTGAACTATGTTGCTTCAGACATGTGGCTGAGTGGTGGCATGCTCGCCTAGCATACACAAGGCCCTAGGGTTGATCCCCAGTCCTACAATAAAATAAAAATAGAATGCTGGTCTTATATTTGGGTCAGGAGATAGCTCGATGAATGAAGATGCCTAAGGGCTAGCTTTGTAACCTGAGTTTGATGGCAGAGCTTATGTGGGGGAAGCAGAGAATTGACTCTGAATACTGTCCTTGACCTCCGTATAGACACTGGCACACAGACACACACAATAAATAAATAGATGTAAAAATTGCTTTTAAAAAAGTAAGTCTGGGGGAAAAAAAGTGAGTCTGGTCAAAGTTCTGTCCTACCCAGTGCAGGCACCTGCCTTGCCACAGGCCTGCTGGCTCTTTATAGTGCCACCACTCCTGCCCTCTGCCCTACAAAACCTCAATCTTCACGTGTTTGCACAGACTGTTCTCTCTGGCAGATACGCCCAACTTTGCCGCTGCTTGCTCCTTCATTGGCTGAAATCAAGCTCTTGAAGGTAGTTCTTCATCTTTATTAACATAGCACCCTGTTTCCCCACTGTTTCAGAGCTTATCAGCATTGTGTTTTAGTTAATTATTTATGTGTGTCTCTTTCGACTTGACTTGGAGCTTCTGAAGGTAGCTGATAGGTAGAAGAATAGGATACTAGGCCCTGAGTGTAGGTCAGTGGGTGAGCATGTGCTTAGCGTGTTCATACGCCTGCATTCATTCAGTCCCCAGCACCAAATAAATGTGTGTTGCCTTTTAAAACACACAGCATTTAGTTTGGCTCCATTGTTTTCTGAAGACTTGCACCTTAATGGAGAACTAGGTACCATCCTTCATTGTTTTACTGTGGATTTGCTGTAGATGACACAGAGAAGCTAAAGTCAGCTGATGTAACCCAAGATGGGAAGTAAGAACAGACATAAACATGTGTTCCGGTGTTATTTGCTTTCTGATAAAGAAGAGTTGCTTCTGAACTTCCTCAACACCCTTGTCGCAGCAGAGGGCTGCAACGGAGGAGAGCTGATTTTCTAGAAAGTCCTCCAGGAGGACTCTAACAGTCTTCTCCTGCTTGAGTGAGTTCTGAGTTTGTACAGGCTGAGGGGGGCATTCAGTCTTGTCCCAAATGACTAAATCTCTCCCTTTCTCCACAGGGAAACAACTGGAAGGCATCTGGTAAGTGGGGTGGGACTCCTCATGTTGTCTGCTCTGTGAACCAGAGCAGCTCACTACACCATTGTCTCCACATTTCCCAGCTCAAAGCCTGGCTCTTTGATGTTAATTTCCCATATCCTTTATTTTCTTGACATTTTTTTAATTTTTATTTTTATGTGTATGGGTGTATGTATATCTATGTAGCATGTATGTGCTTGCTGCCCAGTAGGCCAGAAAAGGGCATCGAATTCCATGATACTCAAGTTACAGACAGTTGTGAACCACAATGTGGGTGCTGGGAATAGAACCTGGGTCCTCTGGAAGAATAGGCAGTGCTCTTAACTGTTAAGCCATCTCTCTAGCCCCCAATTTCCCATATGTAAAACAGCAGTTCTCCGTGAAGCTGATTTTATCCCTCTACCTCCCAAGCTATTGGCCATGTCTAGAGACCTGTCAGAACTAGAGGGAGGGTGGTGTTGTCACCTGCTTCCCACAATAGTCATCTGCCCCCGTGTCAGTGCTCAGAGGGAGGACTCTCCATCTGTGGTGCTGTCTGCCCTCTTTGTCCATGACTTTCACCCATTGCAAATTGAAATGTTCAAAAAAAGGGGTATACTCCTGTGCCCTCCGTTCTCCTGTGCATAAGTTAGCTCATGTAAGCAGTGTCAAAATCCTAATGTTAGCTGGGAGTGATGGTGCACACATTTCATCCCAGCACCCAGCAGGGGAGGCAGAGGCAAGCAGATCTCTGAGACAGAGGCCATTCTTGTCTACATGGGGAGCTCCAGGCCCTCCAAGACTACATAGTGAGGCTCTATCTTAGAAAGAGGGTAGGAGCGGGGAGAGAGGAAAATGTTAAATGTTCTGAAAAGTAAAAGTGCTTGTCCTAAACATATAGACTCTTTTATCATTACTCCCTGAATCATGAAGTGCAATGACTATATGATGTTTATATCATGTTAGATACTATGTGTCATCTTTAAATGATTCAACGTGTACTTAAGGGTTTGTATGTTTTGTATATATCCTATTCCATTTTAGATGAGGGACTTGAGCATCTGTGAATTTGAGTATGGGGTGGGGACAATTCCAGATAATCTTCCCAGATCTAGAGGGACACGGTATGTCTTATTCATGTCTTCATCTGGCTAATGTAATAAAATTGGCTACCACAGTGACGTCTTTGGGCAGAAATTATCCTCACTGCAGTATGTACTTGTTTTGTCTTGGAGAAATTGTAAGTTTCCTGGCTCACTATCCCTCTCTGTGGCAGGCACACCTCTATAGTTGTCCACAAGGATGAGTTCTTCTTCGGCAGCGGCGGTATTTCCAGCTGTTCCCCGGTGAGTGTCTTCCCCTGACCTGCAGAGTCTGAGGGGTTCCTATAGCTTGAGAAGTTTGGCTTCTGCCATGACCTCTGGCCTGTGCTAGTTCTTCATATAGCACATAAGTCAAGCATGGTGGCTGCACACACCTTTAATCCCAGCACTTGGAAAGCAGAAGCAGACAAATCTCTGTGAGTTCAAGGCTAGCCCTGTCAACAGAGAGTTCCAAGGAAGCCAGGGCTACAGAGATACTTTCTTTAAAAAAAAAAAAAAAAGACTTAACTGGGCAGCTTTATAATTCTAGTGCCTGTGGGTACAGGCAAGAGGATCAGGAGTTGAAGTCTTTCTTGGCTACCTAGTGAGTTCCAGCTCAGAAATGCCCAGCAGGTCAAGGTGCTTGTCACTATGCCCGACAACCTGAGCTCAGTCTCTAGAACATGCACAGAAGTAGAGAACCTTCCCATAACTCATCCTCTGACTGGAGCTCATGTGTGCGCATGCTCTGATAGATAATGTGGTAGAACAGAGAGAGCTTCAGGGGAGAGATTGTTCAACAGTCAAGAACACTGGCTGCTCTGCCAGAGGACCAGGCTTGATTCCTAGCACCCCCATGGCAGCTAACAACCATCTGTAGTTCTAGTTCCAGAGGATCCAATGCCCTCTCCAGGTACTGCATGTAGGTAGTACACAGACATACATGCAAGCAAAACAGCCATGTACATAAAAATAAATTTTAAATTAAAAATATATATTTAAAAAAAGGACTGTAAGATGAAAGCAGGTGAAAGTTACTTGCTCCCCATCAAGTCTGGTGACCTGAATTTGATCCCTGCGACCCACATTGTAACTCCTGCAAGTTGTGCTCTGACCACTTTGCGTGTGTGCATACATACACACACACACACACACACACACACACAAATAGATAAGTAAATGTTTTTTTTAAAAAAAAGACCAAGAAAGAATAAAGTCTTTAAAATGCTTTCAGTAGTTGGAGGTGTGTCTTGGTGAACACTTGCCTAGTATCTAGCACACACACTCACACACAATCCCTGTGTTTCATCCTCAGCAAGGGGTTGGGGAGAAAGGAGAGGAGAAGAGAGAGACAGGAAGATGACTCCTCCCTCATTCAGTGACACCTTCCAGTTAACCCAGTCAGTTGCCTTCCTTCTGCAGTCAGCCTGCTCCCTTTTCTCACATGATCTTTCTGACTCTAACACCCACGTCCCTTTTAAACTATTTCTCTCACAGCCATCTCAGGATTATCATGGGATGTACTCAAGCAAAGACCAGCTATCCATTTTGATATCATAAGTAGGAAATCATTCTTGATTTTTCATTGTCAACCCTACCTATCACAAATCTTTTTCATTAAGCCTGGTCATTTCCCTTTGTGTTTTCTTTTTTGGATAAAAAGGTGTCTTGTGACTGAGGGTGGCCTCAAGCTCATGGTACTGCTAAATATCTTCAGCTTGATCCTCCTAATGCTCGCCTTTACCTCCCAAGTTCTGGGATCACAGACATGCTTGCACCCAGAACCTGGTCAGTTCCACCTTGTCACTGTGTCTTAAGTCAGTCTTTCTCTCTTCATCTCTTCTCATCCCTCCAGAGTTTTCACTGCGGTCCTCACCACTTCCTGTCTAGGCTAGACCTATGAAACTAGCCTGATTCCCCTCTGTCCTCCATATAGGAAACAGGTTTCTTTTAAGTCTGAATCTCTGAGATCTTCCTGCCTCTGCTGCCCAACTAAATATATGCACAACCGTGTTGCATCAAACTCACCAGGTAGCCATGGATGACCTTGAGTTTCCCATCTATCCCTCACCGACTGCCACCCAGCACTGGGATTGTGTAGCCCTGCTTGTCCTGGAACTCTCTAGGTAGAATAGACTGGCCTCGAACTCAAAAGGATCCTCCTGCCTCTGCCTCCCAGGTGCTGGGGTTACTACTATGCCCTACATGGTGAGTTTTGAGATGCTGGGTTGTTGTTGGGTCTTGATTTTTAAAGGAATTTCAAAGTATTCCCCTGCTTTAGCCAAAAGGCTCAGCAGAGTCTCCCGCTGACCCTGTCTGAATCGCTCTCTAGCCATCCTCTTTGCAGGTTGCAGCTTCCCCACCTCTGCCCTCTTCCAGCTAAGGCATTTAACCCTATACTCCAATACAGAATAGCTCCCTAATCCTTCACTCGGATGTGCCTGTCCATCCTTCAGGTCTGAGCTGGGTGTTGATTCCCTCCAGCAAACCTCAGCCTGGCCCTCCCCTCCTGCAGGTGCTAAGGAATGGCCTTCTGCACTTTTTCAGCCTGCTCCTTATTTCAGCGTTTTGTAGTCCACTGGTATATAGAATTTTTACATGCCTTCCTTAATAAACTTTAAGTTCTGTGAGGACAGAAATCTCATGTTTTGTATACATTGTGCTCCAATTGTCTAGCCTTAGATGTTGCATATAAGTTCTCAATATATATTTGTCATATGAATGAACAATAGGAGTTGCAATAGTGACCTCTTATTCTCTGGAACATTGGGTAATTTTCCTCTGACTACCATAATAACTGGTCCTGCTCACCATGCCTTTCCCAATGCCTAAAGCAATGTCAACCTCAAGGGAAGTGCTCTGGGGCTATCAGTCAATGGCTTTCATAGGCAAGCTCCATTCTGGAGTGTTCTGCTTTCCTAAATCTGCCCTCCTTGGTGTCCTGTGGCTTACCCTTTGGCTACCGTTCCCAATCCTTTAGTCTGCTGTGGCAGCCCAGCCGTCATGTTCTGTCCTAGTCATCATCTTGTCATTATTTTGGGGACAAAAGGAAACCACGGGTTTCAGGTTTCTGTCTTTTTATTGTTATTTATGTTTTTTTGAGACAGGGTTTCTCTATGTAGTCCTGGCTGTCCTGGAGCTCGATATGTAGAACAGGATAGCCTCAAACTCACAGAGATCCACCTGCTTCTGCCCCCAGAGTGTTGGGATTAAAAGTGTGCACTGCCACACTCAGATAGATAGGTTTCTGTCTTTTTAGCAACAGAATAAATGGACAGTGTAGAGACCCGCCCACACAGGAATCTGCTTCCAGGCCCCTCAAGCAGCCACCTGAACTCTATACTCTATAAACTTAACACAGAGAAAATAGCCCACTTCCTATGACAAGAGTGTTCCAGCAGTTAAAAACGAAGCTGTTGGAATAGAGTTTTGTAGTTTTGTGTTAAAAGTCACAATTCAAACTGGGGCAGGGGGAGGGGGACTGACTACTCTTCCAGGGGTTCTGAGTTCAATTCCCAACAACCACATGGAGGTTCACAATCATCTATAATGAGGTCTGATGCCCTCTTCTGGCCTGCAGGCACACATGCAGATAGAACACCACATAATAAATGAATGAATGAATGAATGAATGAATAAATGAGTAAATCTTAAAGCAAAAAAATAAGAAATTCAAGCCTGGCACAGTAGTACACACCTTTAATCCCAGCACTTGGGAGCAGAAGCAAGTGAGTTGGAAGCCATCCAGGGTGACATAATAATTTAATAGATGGGGACGATAGCCTGGAGTTCATAGATCCCTTCTTAAAAGTTAACAGAGTGTTGATGGTCTCAGTGATAGCGCATTTGCCTAGCATGCATAAGGTCCTGGGTCTGATCCTCAGAACAGTCAAAAGAAAGCAAAAGTGATAGAAATGGTGACTTAGTGACTTTCTTGGGTTGACTTTCAGGGAGGGACATTGCTTGGGCCCCCAGACACTGTGGTTGATGTGGGGAACACAGAAGTCACAGAAGAAATCTTTCTGGAATACCTGTCCTCCCTGGGGGAGTCTCTGTTCCGGTGAGTAAGGCTGCTTGTGTGCACCACTACTAGACACACTCTGGGGGGCAGAGCCAGGGCAGCCGTCCCTGACGCTCAGCTCTGGCCTCGTCACTCTTTCCGGTCACTGTAGAGAAGCAGAGCCCACGTCTCTTCAACAGCAGACTTACATCCCAGCATGCTTTCTGTTGCGCCTAGAGAAAAGGAGCTACTTGTTCCTTCTGAGCAGAACCAGTGAATGCTGTTCCCCACCTCCTCTGGCCAAGTGGATTTCCCTAAATATTGAAAACGGGATTTGTGGGAGAAATGGGATGAAATACCAACTTGAAATTACCTATCTTAATAGGCTTCCTTCAGGCTGACGATGTAGAATACTTTTTCTATCATGCACAAAGCCTTGGGTTCAACCCCCAGACCACAGAAACCTGAACTGGTATGTTGACACATGCTTGTAATTCCTGTACTCAGGAAGTGGAGACAGGAACATCAGAAGTTTGAGGTCATCCCTAGCTACAAATGAAGTAAAAGACCGCCTGAGCTAGAGACGCTGTCTCAAAAGGAAAAAAAGAAAGAAACTTAACCAAGCAGTAATAGGGCATGCCTTCTCTGTGAGTTCAAGGCCAGCCTAGTCAACAGAGTGAGTTCCAGGTTACCCAGCGCTACACAGAAACCCTGTCTCAGAGGGAAAAAGAGAATCTTGAGTCAAAGCCTGGTAAGAGGACTGACTCATCAGAGTCTGTAGAGCCTGACAGCCAGAGTTTGAGCCCTGGAACCCACACTGTGGGGTGTGAGAACCTGCTCTCACACATCTTCCTCTAATTTTATTCGTGTTCCCACACACATCCACACAAAATAAATGATTTAAAAAAAAAAAAGACAGGCAGTGGTGGCGCACACCTTTAATCCCAGCACTTCAGAGGCAGAAGCAGTTGGATCTCTATGAGTTCGAGGCCAGCCTGGTCTACAGAGCAAGTTCCAGGACAAGGCTATACAAAGAAACCCTTCTGGGGGGAAAAATACAGAGGAGGATCTAGAAGGGTGGCTTAGAGCAGTGGTTCTGAACCTGTAGGTAACAATCCTTTTGGAAGTCCCATATCAGATATTTACATTAGGATTCATAACAGGCTGGGCGGTGGTGGCACGTACCTTTAATCCTGGCACCCGGGAGGCAGAGGCAGGTGAATCCCTGTGAGTTCGAGGCCAGCCTGGTCTACAAGAGCTAGTTCTAGGACAGCTAGGACTGTTACACAGGGAAACCCTGTCTCAAAAAACAAACAAAAAACAAAAACAAAAAAGATTCATAGCAGGGGCTGGGCAGATGGCTCAGAGGTTAAGAGCACTGGTTGCTCTTCCAGAGGTCCTCAGTTCAATTCCCAGCAACCACATGGTGACTCACAACTATCAGTAGTAAGATCTGGTGCCCTCTACTGGTATGCCTGTATACATATAAAATAAATAAATCTTTAAAAAAAAAAAAAAAAGATTCATAGCAAAAGCAAAATTTGTTCTGAGGTAGCAATGAAATAATTCCATGGCTGGGGGTCATCATGATAAGAGGGACTGTTTTAAAGGGTTGCAGCATTAGGAAGGCTGAGAACCACTGGCTTAGGATAAGAACACTTGTTGAGCATATCTAAGAGAATAAGGCCTGAGTCCAGTTCTCAGTAACAGAGTGTCTGACCCCCTCTTCTGGCCTTCACAAGAGGTAGACACACACGTGCACATACATTCATAAATACATATATAAAATAAGTAAATCTTTTTTTAAAAAATCTTTTTCAGTTTTATTAAGGGTTCACCTCTGATCCTTGTCCTGTTGTTAGTTCTGGAACTATGTAGAAAGGGTACGGTTTTGGCTCATGTTTCTCTTATTAATCACCTCTCAGAGGTTCAGGTCTGCAGACAGTCCTCCTGATGTTTGAGAGGACTGGCCATAGTCTTCACATAAGGCTTTGCCCACCTTCCCACTCTGTAGTGACAGTTACTCCACATGATACTGGCTTGCTCATCTGCTTTCCACCCCCCTTTCTCGCATGAACAGAGGAGAAGCCTACAACCTGTTTGAACACAACTGTAACACCTTTAGCAATGAAGTGGCGCAGTTCCTGACAGGGCGGAAGATCCCTTCTTACATCACAGACTTGCCCTCTGAAGTTCTCTCCACGTAAGTGTGACCACTCTGTTTCTGAGCCTGCCAACTGTGAAAATCCCCATCTGAGGCAGTCAGGAGGGTACAACCAGCCTCGGCTACACAGTGAGCTTCCTGAGATGAGCCTGAGTTATGTGAGACCCTGTCTCAGAAAGAAAAGAGACAGGAAAACCTCAGACTTAGTGTCCCTCCCCGGTGATAGCAGAATCCTCCTAGCCAGTAGGACCTGTTTGTGGAACCTGCTACCATTGTTCCTACCCACCAGTGGGCACTAGGCCTTTGGAGCTAGGCTTAAGTGCCACCAAAGAACTTAGGAAACCACTTGACCTAACTTAGATGTTTATATAAAATCCTGGTATCTGATAACACAAAGCCATTTCCCAGAAGATAAGAATCCTTATCTAGAATGCAGACTTCAGTCGAAGGCAAAATCCAGAGGAACAGGGCGACCCAGTTTATAACTGTTGTTTGTCTTTGTCAGCCACACCCTGAGCTCTTTGACACCCTCAAAAATCAAGTTCTGCTTATGCTTGAACTTACAGTGCAGACCACCCTCAGCAAAGGTTTCCTCTGCCCCTGATGGGGTCTCAACTCTGGGAAGGCCTGCTATCTTGGGATACCTGAAAGAGCACAAACTTCCCAAGCCATATCATATTGTTCCCTTTTGTGATTGTACCAACCTGACTCTGCCCACTCTAGGACAGTGCCCATTTGTTGCCTCTGATTCAGCTTTTCCTTAACTGGTCCTGACCAACAGTGTTCCTGGCAGATAAACTCGGTTTTAAAAAATGGGACTGGAGAAATGGCTCAGACGTTAAGAGCACTGACTGGTCTTCCAGAGGTCCTGTACATTCAGGCAGAACCCTGTGTACATAATAAATAAATAAAAACTCTCAGGCCTGAGATTGCCTTCTCCTGGTAGATGTGCAGAACCCAACATCCCTACCAAGAGATCTAGGTCATGAGACCCTGAGCATCCTTGAGTAGCCAAATGTTCTTGCTGTTATTACTTGCTGGGTGGGGCCTTTGTCTGAATTAGGGTTGGTATTTGACTCTTGGATCATTTACAAATACTTTATTCTCTTGATCTTAGGGGGGATTTTCAAATATGGCTGTATCACCTGGGCACAGGGGCAGACACTTAGAATCCTAGCACTTGCGAGGCTGAGGCATGAGGATCACAATGAATTTGAAACCAGTTTGAGCTACATATTCAGCCGGGAAAAGGGGGAGGGAGAGTAGCAACCTTTGAGAATGAAACTTGTGCCCAGAGTGTATCGTGAGTCACTTAATTTATTTTTTGAGACAAGTTCTCACTATGTAGCCCAGACTAGCCTAGAACTGACTGCATAGACTATACTGGCCTAGATGCACAGAGATTCCTGTGCCCTGCTTCCTGGGTGCTTTATTTAAGGGAACAGTGATCTTAAAAAGTTTCCAGACTCCATTTTTTTTTCTTTTTTTTTTGAGACAGGGTTTCTCTGTAGTCCTAGCTGTCCTGGAACTCATACTGTAGACCAGGCTGGCCTTGAACTCACTGAGATCCACCTGCCTCTGTTTCCCAAGTGCTGAGATTAAAGGTATGTGCCATCACCGTCCGGCCAGACTCCCATTTTTACAGTGATTTCCCAGTTAAGTTATTACAGGATCCATCCAGGTGTCCTTTAGAAAGTGACATCAACTCCTGGCAAACTCACATGACTATTTATCCTGAATATTCCTGTGTGCTGTAGAACAGTTCCTTTCTAGAAGAATCTTAATTTTGGAATATCCCCATTCCAAACATCATCGTCATGACTTCCTTTTCTTTTGCCTCAGCTTCCCCCTTTTTTCCTCAGCTTCAACATTATTTTTATCTTCTTCAAAAGAATTGAAGATACAAATAAACTGGTGGTTTTGGTCCATGCCTGTAATCAGGAGTTCAAGCCTATCTTAAGCCCTACCCTTTGACAAAGGATAAAAGCTCAGCAAGTACAGAGTGCTCTGGTTCCCTGTGGGTAGCCACCCTGTTCACCCACAGCTCAGCATGCCCGGCAGGTGTCAGTGAGAAGATGGCAGTGCACACACAGAGGAGGGAACTGGGAGTAACCATAAAACAAGCAACGCACCTTTAATCCCAGCACTCAGGAGACAGAGGCAGGCAAACCAGCCTGGTCTACAGAGTGAATTCCAGGACAACCAAGGCTACACAGAGAAACCCTGTTTTGAAAAACCCAAACCAACCACACAAAAAACATTTGCAAGATTATTAGTCAGCTTCTGCTCCTGGAGCAGATCCTGAGATAATCAGATTATAAAGAGGAAGGCTTTCTGTTAGATGCACTGCCAGCCAGCAGTATCAGTCCATAGTCACCTGACATTGTTACTTTTGAACCTGTGATAAAGAAGCCTCTCATGGTGGGAGAACATGGTAGAACAGGAGCTGTTTACTTGATGCCAGGAAGCAAAGAGAAGAAGAGACTAGGGTTCCTCTTTCCTCTTCAAGGGCATGTCTCCAGTGACCAGCCACCCTCCCAATAGGTCCCGCCTCTCAAATGCTTCACAGGCCAAGAACCAAGTCTTTAACCTGGGGATCTTAGGGAACACTTAATCAAACCAGAGAGCTCCCTTACGAAGACCAGTGTGGTAGTAGATGCTGATTAACAAGGCCCCCAACTGGCTATGTAAAAGGCTCAAGGATCCTCAGCCCTAAATGGAACATATACTGCACCCCTCCTCCCAGGCTCAGGAACCATTAAAGGGTGTAAGAGCCAGAGGCCACGAATGCTTATAAGGAAGCAGTATCTTCAGGATACTGCAAGGTAGCTGAACATAGGGACTCTCAGTGGTTGTGACATCATACACAAACCAGACCAAAACCCAGCATGGAGAGGAGACCTGGACATGAACCCCCACACACATCTGCCCAAGGAACTATTGGCCATTTTAGCCTCTGGGAAAGGGTCGGTTTTCTCCAAGAGTGTAACACCTGATATGTCTGCCATGCTACAGTGGAAAGTCATATGTCCAGGAATATTTGGACAGCACAAAATGGCCTTGATGGGGGAAAAGGACAGACACACAACACAGGAGCAGGCAGAGGGTTAGGGTGGATCTGGGAAGAGTTTGGGAGGGACGGTTAATAGGACTAAAACACATTGTATAAAATACTCAAACCGGGCAGCAGTGGCGCACGCTTTTAATCTCAGCACTCAGGAGTCAGGGGCAGTTAGATCTCTGTGAGTTCGAGGCCAGCCTGGTCTACAAGAGCTAGTTCCAGCACAGGCTCCAAAACTACAGAGAAACCCTGTCTCCAAAAAACAAAAATAAAATACTCAAAGAACTACAAAAATATATATACTTAAAGGCTGGAAATGGTGGCACACACCTTCAACTCCAGCACTCAGGCAGAGGCAGGCAGATCTCTGAGTTCGAGGCCAGCCTGGTCTGGTTTCAGGACAGCCAGAACTATGTAGAACAGCAGTTCTCAACTTCTGGGTCTCAACCCCTTTAGGTCCCATATCAGTTATTTACGTTACAATTCATATCAGTAACAAAATTACAATTATGAAGTGACAATGAAATAATTTTATGGTTGGGGTCACCACAACTGAGAAACTATATTAAAAGGTCGCAACATTAGGAAGGTTGAGAACCACTGTCTATATTGTAGGGAGACTGTCAAGAGAAAGAGAGAGAGAGAGAGAGAGAGAGAGAGAGAGAGAGAGAGAGAGAGAGAGAGAGGAAGATGGTGCTGCCGTGACCACCCTGCATGTCACCATTTTGTCTGTGGGTAGGCTGCGCTGCAAAGCTCTCCAGCTCATGTCTGTTTCTCCACAGGCCCTTTGGACAAGCACTTCGGCCCCTCCTGGACTCCATCCAGATCCAGCCTCCTGGAGGGAGCTCTGTGGGCAGACCCAATGGCCAAAGCTAACAGGACTGCACGGAACCGCCCGCCTCTCCAGGGCTTTTCCTTTTTAAACAAAACAAACCCTACCAGATTTCTATTTTATAATTTTACATCAGAGCTAACGGGGACGGCTTTTTAAATTTCCCAGGGAAGGAGCTTGTCAGGCTGCACGTAGGACAATGCTCCTGAAAAACAGAACCAATGCCATCCCTTCTAATAGTATTATACTAATTTATTAAGGCTGTCTTGTCTGTGAGTTCACTTTTGACGCTGTTGCCTAAGCGTCCTCAACGGTGGAGAAAGAGGGGTGCTTGTTTAAACAGAAAGCAAGAGTCACACAACCTGGGAGGACCCCGTCCTGGACCCTTTCCAAGGGATACCCACATTCAACCCATACCTGTGGGCCCTGGATGAAGTTTTTTGGTTTTTTGTTTTTTGGGGTTGGTTTTTTTTTGGGGGGGGGGGTTCAAGACAGGGTTTATCTGTGTAGCCCTGACTGTCCTAGAACTCACTCTAGACCAGATTGCTCCCAAGTCACAAAGAACCGCCTGCCTCTGCCTCCCGAGGGCTGGGATTAAAGGTGTGCTCCACCACCGCCTGGCCTGGGTGAGCTTTATACTGTCCATAACCCTGGAGCAGCCGCCCTCTAGCCGCAAATGAATCATAGGGTCTGGTGCACACGGAAGTCTTTAGCCACGAGTTTACCCCCTTGTCCCCAAACAAGGCCGCTGGAACAGCCAGAGCCTCGGGATCAAAGGACAGTGGCAGCGAGGATGGGGCAGAGAAGACAGGGTAAAGCCATTCCTCCTCCTCCTCCTCCTAGTGCCAGTCCTCTCTGCCTGCCCCTAAGCTGCTCTTCCTCAGCAATAACTTGACCTGTCCCCCTTAATGAAGGTCTAGGCTGCAGTGGCAGAGACCTGGGCCTTCTCTCTGCAAATAATAGCATCAGTTTATTTATAGTCAATGGAGCCAGCCACCTAAACGGTATGAATTTGTCAGCTAGGGGACATGACCGGTCCCTCTAAGAACTGGCCAGAGTACCATAATGATGCAGATTCAAGGTGGCAAGAAAATTTAAGAGTTGTCTCCGATAGGGACTTCCACATTTTCCTTAAAGTATCATGAACAGACATTATCTCCATTATCATTCTGACCTTAAGAGGTGTGGTTGGGCTGAGTGGGCCGTTTCCTAGTGATGTGCTGCTAGGATTCATCAGCAGGAATCGTCTAGAAGTCTATGATCTGGACTCTAGGAGGAACCTAAGGTTCCCTTTCTTGGTGTCAGCCCCCTAGCTAATTTGGGGACTGACTGGATATGAAGAAGGGGACTCAGAGCAGGCACCTGAGACTCTGTTCCACATCCATGGGAACCCCTGCCATGGTTTCCTACCACTTCTGAAACTTGAGCTCAATAGCTCCTTCTCAGGCAGGCCTTTCCTCCTGCTGCTACTGGCTTGTACCTGCCCATACCCTGCTGACCTTGCCAGTAGCCATATGAGTTGGCTTCATCGGGATGTCTGCCTCAGCGCTGACCTGTTGCCTGACCAGGGCCAAGTCCAGCTGGGACGTCAGGTGGTGATTTGGAACTTGAAGGTTGAAGTCAGATGGGTCTCACTCAAGACTCAATGGTTTGCAAGTGTGCAGCGCAATAACGAATTAGAATGGAAACCAACAGGGATTGTTTACTATGGGTCTGTTGACAGAATGGGGCCCAGAAGGATGAGTGTTCAAAGCTTGGCTTCTGGGTGGGTAGAGGTTGCTGGGAGCCATCACTTTTCCATTTGCCTGGCCCCAGCTGCTATCATCTCTACCCAGAGCGCTCACCTCTCTCCTGCCAGGTGCTGGACTGAATTTCCCACACCAGATTCATCTGGTTTTTCTCTTCGCAGCAGTGACTCACATGCCATGGTATTCTGAGAAGTTTGCCTGAGAATCTTAGTCATTTGATTGCCTGAATCAGCAGCCATCCGTGTTAATGCCTGTGCCCATGGCTTGCAGGGAGATAGGAGGACTGGACAGTTTCTCAGGACCTGCAGGGAGGCTCTTCCCCTCCCCTATGCAGATCCATTGTCGCCCCAGTCCCAGGCCAGGAGCCCCACGTCCCACCTTCACACATCAGTGTTCCAGTATCTCAGGAGCATACTATTAATGACCAGCTGACTCCACCTGGGCGTGTACAAGTGAGCTGAGGGAGTCATGTCGCTGGTGTCACCTGACACACCCCTGTGGAGGTCCAGTGGTCAGGGAACAAGGGAAGTGGAGCATGAGACCATCATCCTCTCCTAGACAAAATGGAAGTGTGTTCTTTAGAGATTCCTTCATGACTTCCTTGGACTCAAACTAATTATGTCTAATACAGAGGTGTTTGCTGGTTTTCCTTGGTGGTTTTCTAATGCAATAAACTCACTCATGCAGCTGTAGCGTGTTACTTGAATCCTGGCACGAAGTGACCCCAGACTTCCCCATCTGTCTTCCTCCCAGGATACCCTTGCAGAGCCCAGGAGTGCTGCCTTTGCTTTGGTGACAGGCTTGTGGATGGGCAAGGGTAATAGGAAGGGTGTGTGGCTATCGGCATTGGTGTATAAAGATGGAGAAAGGGCCCAAAGAGAACGTGATGGGCATAAGGCTACTTTAGCCTAGTTTTAGCTACACAGTGAGATAGTGAGACCCTTGCCTCCCAAAAATGTGTGTGATGCCCCAGGTACTGCAGCTGGTGATACAGTAACTTCACATTCTAAGGTGTTCCTCCAGGATCTGGCCATTAGGAAACGATACAAGAATTTTTCTCCCTGAGGAAAGGAGTCTAGTCCCTTAAGTGTCTAGTCCCCTCTTCATAAGTACAAACGAAGTTCCACTCTACCAAAGGTCACCCTGGAGATCAACTGAGTCTATTAGGCTGCTCATAGAGCCTTAGGTGGGGAGTTACAAAAGGATGTGTGAATGGCCTAAGCAGCCACACTGCAAGGTCTGTACCCAGCATGTATGATGGCTTCTCCATCACTGCATATAGATGGAGTCCTTCCCAGACTACATACTCTAGTGCCTCTTAGAGACCCCAGGAGTATGTATAATTAGGGCAATACTGCATACAGCCCGACTGGGAGGAGCGAGTATTCTCATGAGGGTCCAATAACTTCTATGAGGGATATAAATAAGTCTGACTCCAAGGATAGAGCTACCTAACAAGGGGCATATGATTTATGAATTAACAAGTGTACACTTCTAATTTCACTTATGGTCCTGAACAAGTGCTGTGGTTGGTGGTCAGCTTTCTGGAAGCTTCCCTCATACTTCCAGGAGTGCTGCCTGGCTGGTGGCCAGGCCTGTGGTAATGCTTTCCCAACAACAGGGGTGGGGATTGATCCCATCGTACAGGAGGAAACAGGGCAGAGAAACATCAAGGTGGCAAGGCCATTTTGAATCCAGGCCATATTCTCACACGTCATCCCTGAGGTAGTCTTTCCAGTGTGGTGGCTTCTACAAGGCAGAGTGTAGCTAGCTGTGCCTGACATACCGGCTTCAGAAGAGCACAGTAGGCAGGAATCTTTGCCATCCGTACACAGGTAGCAGCCCAGGCTGCCCACCTTGTAGTACCCAAGGTAGTACCAAGTGGTAAGAGACGAGCGCTCTACCCAGTGCTTGGCACAGATCACATGTGCAGTACATTTCAGGTTACTGAGACAAGCCTCCCACAGCCATTGCCTGTGGATTTCCTTAAATCAGTGCCGTGCAAAGGTTAGACCTCTGTTGAAGTGTGTAGTCACCCGAAGGAAAAAAAAATGACAGGAAGCAGGTGTATCTCCCCCCCCCCCTTAGACTTGAGACCAGTCAATCTGGGGTAAATTCATTCAAGGTAAATTCATTCAACCTTAGTATCCCCCTTGAACTACAAACCCAAGATCCTTCACCCCTGGGAGCCACTAGGCTCTATGTTTAGGGACAGCAATCAGTAGGGAAGGCAGTCAGGAATCATACTCAGGAAAACTAGGGGACAAACACAGGTGACAGGAGAACCTAGGTGATGATACCAGATGACAACTGTGTGGGAGGGAGGATGGCTGTTAGGTTAGAGGAGGCTTCACTAAGGATGAGATAGCTACCCAAAACACAGATGATGCAGGGCCCAGGTGGAGTGGGCAGTCCACTCCAGGCAGCTGAACCAGAGAATATGGAGAAATGAGAATACTGGGAGGACAGAAAAGCAGGAGGCCACGGTGGTGAGCAGGAGAGTAAGCAGCAGTGTGGGGCAGGGCAACAGGAATTTGGGTGAGGAAGGCTGTGCTGCATTGTGAAAGATCAAGAGTTAGTGTCCAGATTTATAGAGAAACATCAGTCGAGTATGGGGGCACATAAGAGAGCCTCTGACACAGTCAGAGACCAGCTATGGGACCACGGGGCCATTTATCCTGCCTCTGGGAGCTTCACTAAGCCTAGCATTGATTTAAGAGGTATGCTTTAATTTCTCAGGTTATTTTTTTCTTTTTTTAAATATTTATTTATCCATTAATTCATTATGTATATAGTGTTCTGTCTGCATGTATGCCTGCAGGCCAGAAGAGGGCACCAGATCTCATTATAGATGATTGTTAACCACCATGTGGTTGCTGGGATTTGAACTCAGGACCTCTGGAAGAGCAGTCAGTGCTCTTAACCTCTGAGCCATCTCTCCAGCCCAGGTTATTTTTTTCTAAAACAAAATTCTTGACAGGTATGACAGCGCATGCCTTACCCACAACCCCAGCACTTTTGAGGCTGAGGTAAGAAAATTGCCACTAATTTGGGACTAGCCTGGACTATATAGTGAATTGCAGACCAGCCTAGGCTACAGAACAAAGCCCTATCTCAAAATAAATAAATAAATAAAATGTGATAAACTACAACAGCAATAATGCTCTGAAAAATGTAAGCCTCCTGGATGGTTTCTGTCAACTTGATACAATCGAAAGTCATCTGAGAGGAGGGGACCTCAAATAAGAAAATGTCTCCATTAGATCAGGCTGTAGGTAAGCCTGCGGGGTATTTTTTAGTGATTGATGGGGAGGGCCCAGCCTATTGTGGGTGGTGTCATCCCTGGACAGGGGGCCTGAGTTTTATAAGAAAACCGGCTGAACGAGCTGGTAAGAAGCACCCCTTCATGGCCTCTGCATCAGCTCCTGCCTCCAGGTTTCTTCCTGCTTGAGTTCCCGCCCTCACTCCCTTCAGTGACAGACTATGTATGATGTAGAACCGCCAGATGAACAAACCCTTTCCTCCCCACCTTGCTTTTGGTTGTGAGGTTTCGTCCAAGCAATAATAACCTTAACTAAGACAGTAAGCAATAGCAGCACAAAGACAAAGGGGGAAAGGCACCGGGAACTTCCTCATCCTAAGAAGTCACTGCTAACCACTTTGGGAACAACTTTGTGGATGTTGGAAGACAGGCACGCAGGACAACTGTTCATCCTAGGATTGAGAGGAATGTGGCCAGAGTGGAATGGTGAAGAAAAAGAAGAGGATTTCAATTTCATGCTGGTTAGGAAGAACATGAGACCCAAGCCTCCTAAGACTCAGGGGCTTTGGCCTAGAAAAATCACCAAGAACCCAGCAGGGACCTATAACAACGTTGAATGGAACACCCTGCTGAGCCTGGGGACAGGTCCTGGCGAGCAATGTGGCCCTCTGCCGGTAAAATGTTTATACTACAAGAGAGGTATGAACACCAGGCGGCGCTACAGACCTGCAAGGTACCCCAGTCCTCAGCCAAACTCCAAGACTTGCCAGGCTCCACCGGAGCCAGGCTGTCCTGACTTTCAAGAGTCCTGTGAATAACAGCCAAGCTCTTTGTCCCCATTTTAGCAAGGCCCACCTGCAATTCGTCCCAGGACACCAACCCCCACACCTTGATGCCAAACACTGGTCCCTATCTGTCACTCGGTGGTTTTGTAAGCCTCCGTTCCTTACTCAGTCACATCTACTCCGCTGGATCCCCTTCCTCGTTCCTCACCCAGCTCTGAAGACCAGCCAATAAGATCTCAGTCAGTAAGGCCTCCCCAAAGTCTTCATCGCTCCCACCTAATCTAAGGGTGCATTACCCCCCACACTTCCACCAGGCCATCTCTCAGGGCATCAGCTGAATAACGAGACTAGGATTGGATTGAGTAGGTCATTTAAACTGACAAACACCCTCTGGGGTCTCTGAGATACTCTTCAGACAGTGGCCCTACTGCAAAGCTCTTGCTGGTAATCCTGAAACCAGAGTTCATCCCACAGCCCACTGTAAAGGTGGAATGATAGTTCTAATCCCATGAAGTTATCCTCTGACCTCCACACATGCGCCCTCTTATATAGCATATACAACAGTGATATTAAATACAGACATACAAAAATACAAAAAACCTTTCTGGGTTGGAATTCCTATAGATGTGGACTGAGCCTCTGACTCTGAGACCTTGGTCAAGGCCATCCCCTCTCTAGTCCTGGTGTTCATGTGTGGAAGTGAATCGGACATCTCTAAGACATTCTAGCCATTCTCCGGACCTGGCCTGGACTGTGAGGAGACTGGCTTATTCACACATTCGCATGCTCTGTCCAGTACTCCAGGGCTGCGCTTTGATCCATAGAGAACACTATTCTGTCCCCGCTGGCTGAAGAAGTCCCAGAGGGACCAGAGACAGCACAGCAACAGCCTCCACTCCAGCAAACACCATCTGAGCATGCGCCCTTAGCCTTGGTTAAATTGAGTGGACTTCCCTTTTGGGACACAATGAAAGGAAAAATAACCCAATACTCCCACTCCACTTATTCCCAGCAGGTCTTGCGGGAGCCTCTGTAAGCCATGGCTTCCCTGCTCCCCCTTCTTCCTATGCTAGCACTGTTGACAGCTTCTAAGAAGAGGAACTGACTCAAAAGACCATCCGGCCAAGGTCAACTGTCAACCTCAACAAGCCCTTTCGGCCTAAATGTCCACCCTCGGAAGAGCACGCTCCAGGTGGAGGAAAAGGAAACTACTGGTGGCTTCTAAATTATTTATTACTTAAAAAAGATATATTTTGGGGGCCGGAGAGACAGCTGAGTGATCAAGAGCACTTGCTGCTTTTGCAGAGGACCCGGGATCAAGCACCCACATGGTGGCTTACAGTCACCTCCAGTTTCAGGGGATCCGAACCCTTTCTGACCTTCACAGGCACTAAGCATGCTTCAGTCAGGCAAAACATTTGTATATATAAAAATAATATTTTTATTTTGAGGGGTTTTTTGAGCCAGGGTCTCACTACGTAACCGTTGATTGTTCTGAAACTTTCTAGGTATATCAGGCTGGCTTTGAATTCAGAGATCCACCTGCCTCTGCCTTCTGAGCACGGGAAAATGAGGAATATGCCACCATGCCCAGCTTCTGAAGTCTTTGGACTTGTTATTGTGCTGCCTTCTAATAACGACTGGCAGCCAGGAGAAAGCTGGGCATGCAGAACAGAAATGAATGGAGAAACGCTCCAGGTAGAAGCCACACCATGCAAATCAAATGTGAAAGGCACTTACCACAGATCCTCAGCCTTGTATCTTGACCCAAAAGAGTTCGTCATCTCACCAGACTGAAATTACAGGTCCTCTGCCCACAATCCTGCTTTGCTCTGGTTCTCAAACTCACCCACAGGCCAGTCTTGGGGGGGGGCGGCCCCCGGCTGGGGCGTTGCCCTCCCGGGGACTTCCCTAGGGCCCTCTCTCAGCATCAGTTGCCAGGGACAAACTTTCCTCTTAAAGGGACACACTGGAAGCCACATGGGTCTATGCCTCTGGGCAAATCATTCCACCTTTGGGTTTCAGTGGCTTCACCCCTGAAGGATTGTGGTGGGACTGGTATAGCAAAAGCATTAATAGCTCTACCTCATTGTTAGCCGTGGTGGTGCACACCAATAATCCCACTGCCCCAAGGGCAGAGACCGGAGTTTGGGCCAGCCAAGAGTATGTAGCAAGATTCTGCCTAAAAACAAAAACAAGGGACTGGAGAGATGGCTCAGTGGTTAAGAACACTGGATGCTCTTCCAGAGGTCAGGGGTTCAATTCCCAGCATCCATATGACAGCACACAACTGTCTGTAACTGTAGTCCCATAGGATCCGATGCGCCAGTATATGGACATACATGCAAACAAAACATCCAAACACATAAAATAAATAGATAAACAATTGTATATGACAGTCACTCTTGTTTTCTGCGTGCAAATTGATAGAACATTGTAACTAGGTGTTTAGCTTCATAACTTATTTTGTCGCTGGTTATAAGCTTGGCTAGGTTTCTTTTTAATAGTTGTCTTTTGTCTTAATTGTCTGATTGCTCAGATTTCTTATCTGTTGCAAAAAGTGCCATTCTCTCCAAGGGTAGAATCCTGGCTGGTGATTACTTGGACAACTATCCAAAGTCTTGGATTAGCACTTCGTCTCGTGCTTACTAACAGCCTTACCCCTATGATCTTTAGCATCCCTTCATCTCACGTTGATTCAATGACCTAACCATAGGCAAAGCACTTTAACAGTATGGAGAAAAGAGATTGTGGTACATGCTACAAAAGACAAACACAAATAAACAAACAAACAAACAAATCTGCCAGGAGGTGATGGCAGCACTCAGCAGGCAGATCTCTGAGTTCAGGGTCAGCCTGGTCTACAGAGCAAGTTCTACACTAACCAGAGCTACACAAAGAAATCCTGTCTCAAAAAAGCACCCAAAACCACATGAATAAAGTGAAATAGCTTGGGAAACCAATTTCTTTTTGTTTAAAGGGTGCTCCAGAACCAAATCTGTCTAGCAAGTGGTATTTTGAATTGCCGGTAGGTTTCTCCACCTATAAAGAAGCCAAATCGAGCCAAATGAATAAGGCCAAGTTTAATCTGAACAAAGCAACTCCAGGGTCATCTGGGAAGTAGGGAGGAGAAGTCACACCCAGGGTCTAGGGGCCTGGGCTGGAGGAGCAGAGCAGTCTTGCGTAGCTCCGGGGAGGAGCCAATATTGGGCAGGCTTTCAGAGAGTGGGGTCTGGAGGGAGAGAGGTGGGGCCAAAGCAGAGTTCCCAGTTAAACAGCAAGTACGCCCTGCCCTGGCAGCAGATTCCTGTGATTTTCTCTCTACAGGAGGTGGTGACTGTCTTTTCTCCACTGGTTGTGGTGATGACCTCACAATCTTTCTTGATTGGCTAGCTTCAAAATAATTCGTGCAAGGGAAGTGAAGGAAGGGCGAAGGGGTCTGTGTCTAGGCCGGCTAGCACAGAGAAGGCTGGGTAGGCCAAAGAGAACAAAAGTTTATTAGGAGCAGAGATTAAAATATTTACATAAAAATCTACAAGAGTGGAGAGAGGTGTAGAAAAAACAAAAACTAAAACACTTTTCACACCTAGAATAGAGCCAGCATCAGCTTGGAGGGATTGGAGACTTAAAACTGGGCAAATCCTGTTAACCCTGCTGAGCAATAAGACCATAAAACCTCTAGTCCTTCTTTCCTTCCTTCCTTCCTTCCTTCCTTCCTTCCTTCCTTCCTTCCTTTCTTCCTCCCTCCCTCCCTTCCTTCCTTCTTTCCTTCCTTTCTTTCTTTTTCTTTCTTTTCTTTTTGTTTTTTTGTTTGTTTTGGTTTGGGGCTTTTCGAGACAGGGTTTCTCTCTGTAGCCCTGACTGTCCTGGAATTTACTCTGTAGACCAGGTTGTCCTCGAACTCACAAAGATCCACCTGCCTCTGCCTCCCGAGTACTGGAATTAAAGGTGTGCGCCATACCCAGCCAGTAGCACAATTTTTGAGCCAAATTTGAAGCAAACTTTATTAAATACTGGCAGAACAATGGACACTGGCCTGATCCACCCAGAATCCCCAGAGAATGGACACAAATGGTGTTAGTCAGGGGCTTATAAAGGCAAAACCCACAGCCTGGCAGTGGTGGCGCACGCCTTTAATCCCAGCATTCTGGGAGGCAGAGGCAGGTGGATTTTTATGAGTTCAAGGACAGCCTGGTCTACAAGAGCTTTCCAGGAGAGGCTCAAAAGCTACAAAAAAATTCTGTCTCGAAAAACTAATAAAAAAAATTAATAATAAAATAAAGGCAAAACCCACAAGGCTGTGTACTTCTGCCTTCAGCCAGTCGGGATGTACATCCGGAAGTGCTTCCTACCTGCATACCTCCCATCTGTGTGTGATCCTGTGCAGTTATTTATCTGTCCTTGAGGAAGTAGGGGTTACAGGTTAGAGGGGCCCCGCCCCCTCCATGTCTGCACTCACATGTACCCCCACACAGACACGTGTATACACATAAAGTAAACCTTACAAAAATAATGTAAAAATGGACTCAAAGGGAACCTTAAGAACAAGTTTATCAGAGTTTAAAAGACAAACAGGCAACCTGAAAATCCTGGCAGATGCCACAAGTCGGAGAAGACAAAGGCCATGCCGCTTCTGTGAAGGTTAGCCATGGAGGTTGGCCAAGCAGCCCCGTGACAGAAGCAGGGCAAGGGAGATGCAAAAGAAGAACGAGAGAGGCCAGAACATCAAGAAAAAACGCCCAGGCATTGGCAAGTATTCAAAAGAAAGAAAAGGGCAAAAGAAACAGCTTGCTCTTGTGAGCCAGGATTCAATGGGCAGACCACAAAGTGGAGGCCCCAGGGTTCCTGGGAAGGAAAGTTCATTATCTCATTAAGGGGATAATTACTCCTCCCTTCTCTTTAGCTTAGTTTTAGGTGAGTCAGGCTTCCTGAGCTGTGGTCCCTTGGCCAAATGATTGACAGTCTGGAGTAACGGCACTGTTCCCCCCCTGTGCTCCGGGGAGTGAGGAAAACAGGCAAGGGTGAAGGCAACGTAGTGCTTCTTACATCCCACTCAGTAGCTCATCAGTCATCCCCTGGTAGTTGGATCTTGCTGGGGTCAAACCGGTTGGATTCCATGAGAGGGAGGCCATTGTCTTCTCGGTGTTTCACGAGCATCTCAGCTTCCCAGCGGGCCCACTCAACCATCCCATAGTTGGGCACGTAAGCCACAAAGGTGGTGCCGAAGACCAGGACGATGGAAAAACCAAAGAAGAAGACGGCTTGCATATTCCAGTCGTCCACCACGGGGTCCTCGTCATAACCATGGAAGTATGGGTTCTTCGAGTAGACGTTTTCGTCCTCGGGCTCTGGGTCCTCCAACCATTGCGGGGTAGGTTCTCTCTGCTGCTGCTTCATTCGTGCCACAGTGGACCGGGCGACCACAGCCCCAGAGGAGGAGCTCGGTTTCCAGCAAATGTCGGTAGCCTGGAGCCCTCGCATAGCCAAAAGGCTGCGGGCACACAAACTTAACCGCGAGGCCGCCATGACAGCTGCAGAGATGGGGGTGGGGTGCGTAGAAACGAGGGAGAAAATAACGGACGGATGCCCCTCTCTCCGGCCAGAGGCAGAGCCTATTCCTTGCGGGGGGCGGGGCACGGATAGATGGGGAATATCAACAGATTACTGACATCCTCCAAGACTACAGTTAGCAGTTCTAACTGCGCATTAAATGACACACCTTCTAATGCCCTGACAGTCAACGGTGTCGTGGCAATAACTGAAAACCGTGAAAGATGGCTAGGGCATTCACAAGGCTCTCCCTGGGATCAATCTCCCAGCAAACCTCCACTCGCAGAGGCTACATCAACGCCACTCCCCTTTATCACTCTGTCCTCCCACCTTGTCTCGTTTAAGTCCATCTATAACCTCCTAACTCTTGGAGTTTACGTCTGAATGTCCGAATTCTCTTTCCTGCTCAGTTGATGTCTGGTCCTACTGGTTCCACAGTTCCCAGAGGGCAAAAGACTCAGTTCAGGGACCAAAAAGAAAAATGGTAGTATGGGGAATAGAACACACACACACACACACACACACACACACACTTTTTAATGATGAACACTGGAGACTCCGAGTTCTAACAGCAACACCATTTATGTAACAGTCCTGCAGGGCCAGGCACTAGCTCAGACAAAATGGTGGGCATGCCAATTAGGCTCCAAACAGTTGCTTTTATAGCCCTAACCACCAGTCTCTGTCTCCCCCTCACTGGCTGGGTACGTGGGGTGTACTGTCTTCCACACTGTCTGGTCAAATCTCCACCCCAAGTTCCCCCTCTTTATTTGTTAGGTTTGTACTTAGTTTTGGCTCTAAATTTCAAGGACACCACCCCTGATGTAATATACATCCTGGAGCCCCAGAGTCTCTTCACCCTCCGTTGCTCATGGGCCCAGTCACATAGCAGGATGACTATAATTTCCTGCCCCCAGACGAAAGTGCCTAGGCAAGCGGGCACCAGTTGCAGCAGGGGACTAGTGCCTCCTGCCTGCTTGTGATCTGATGAACCTAAGCCCACTGGAGGCAATTTTAAGTGGACACGGACCACTTATCCATTCTTACAGAATCCCGGCACCTGTGTAAGAGCTAGGGCTGCGTCTGTAACCCCAGGACTAGTGAGTGAGCAGAGACTTGTGTGTCCTAGGAGTTCTGCAACCTGCCAGACTAGTTGAAATGAAGAATTCCAGGCTCATCAAGAAGGGATACTGCCTCAAAAACCAAGGTGAAGGGGCTGGAGAGTTGGCTTGGTGGTTAAGAGAACGCGTTGCCCTTGCAGAGGACCTGGGTTCAATTCCCAGCACCCACATGGTAATTCACAACCATCTGATCCAAGGGATTCGATGCCCACTTCTATGGCACCAAGACCATGCGTGGATCAGACATAGATGCCAGAAAAACACTCATACACATAAAGTAAAATAAATATGAAACTTAAATAAAATAAGGTGGAGGAGACTATAGGAGACAGATGCTATGGACCCCTGGTCTATATGTGTGCATGCACATATATGCAAGATGCACAGAGTTGTAACAAAACTCAAGGAGATCATTATAAACCCATGATAACAGCAGCATCAATCTCAATGGCAGAAGAAGGTACCCCAAGTGTCCACTAACTGAGAGTAGGTAAAGAAAATGGACTCCATGTTAGGTGGTAGTGGTGGATGAATTTAATCCCAGCACTCAGGAGTCAGAGGCAGGCAGTTTCTGTGAGTTCAAGGCCAGCCTGGTCTACAGACCAAGTTCCAGACTGACCCCAAAGCGACACAGAGAAACCCTGAAAAACTAAAAAAAAAAAAAAAAAAAAAAGACTGCATTTCAAGACCCTCAATGGATGTCTATAGCAGCAGCCAATGGAATCCAACCATAAGATGTAGTCTTTTTTTCCTATGCATGCATACATATGATGTATATTTTACAAAATCAAGCCTAGCAAGAGCTTAATAATATAACAATAATTAACAAAATGCTACATTAAACGATCTTTGAATGTGGAATCCTCCTCACAGGTATCTATCTCACTGTACTGCATACAATACTACACGCAATGCCACGGATGACGCAAGGCCTAAGGATGAGCTGTACTGAGGGGAAGAACATGGATGTTGTCACATAGTGTTAGGACACCATCGCCTTTCTCCGTAAACACAGGACTGCGATATTGCATAGTGTTAGGACACCATCGCCTTCTTCCCTAAACACAGGATTGTGATATTGCATAGTGTTAGGACACCATAGCCTTCCTACTTAAACACAAAGACTGCAATGTTGCAGACACAGATCTGACAACACAGACCCCTCTAACATCCCTAATAACATGAATGTGTGGGACAAAGACACCCTTATGTCCCCAAGGTGAGTGAGGTGAGGGAAGAATACAACTGATTTACTGAGATATCAAAGGCTACACAATTCCAATGCGGAGAACAGCTCACTTCTGGAACTTTCCAGGTAACACTTTTGGACCATGATTTTCTGCTGTAATTGAAATCAGAGAAAGACAAATTCTGGGTGAGCACCGTTCATTCACACAGTGGATGATCGTTCAGCTTTAAAGAGCAACTGTGATGCCTGCTGAACACCAAGGAGTCTTGAAGAATTAGGTCAGTCACAGAGAGCCAGTGCATAACTGCACTCTGTTAAATCACAAAAATAGAAGGCAGGATGATGGGTGCTAGGGTTGGACAGAGGAGAGAATGGGGAGCTACTGTCGTGGGGTGCAGAGCTCAGTTTTAGCAGAGGAAGTGATCTCGGGAGGAATCGTGGTGGTGGCTGCACACTGGGACTGACGGATCCCCCTGAGCTGTGCTCTGCAAATTGAGAGGATGTGCAGTGGTGTGGCTACCGGAGCTGCAGGCTGAGCGTGCATAAGGCCTTGGGACCAATTCCCAACACCACGAGAAACAGAGTGGTAAGGCTGGTGAATATTAGTGATGGCTAACCAAAATAAAACCAGAAAGACACACAGACAAATGCTTCAGTTTGCCTTGCATGCCAAGGAGCACAGCCAGGGCAGTAGCTTGACCTCAGCTTGGGTATTTCTGTCCTGCACATTCCAGGACAAGTGCTTGAGTCCCATCAGCCTGTAGGGAGACCTTACCAGAGACTCTGGAACATGCTGATAGCAGTGTCTCCACACAGCTGGGCTTGAAGGACATGTGGCACCATCTATAACAGCAACAGGATTTAGGAAAGCGGCCTGGCATTGCCTGAGTCTAACCTTGGAAGGTATGGAGACTGAGTTCAGCCATATGGGTGCTCCCCCAAACCATGCTCAAATCTATGGGATCCCCCAAACCTCTGGACAGTGAGGCTCAATGAGCTTCTCTGTGAACAACGTCCTCCTCTCTCTCAGCCACACTTGGTGACTGGGCGTCCTGACTTCTGTTTGGACAGTTAGCTGACAGCCGGGAGTGTCTGACACCTCAGGCTCGGTCCAGCACCACTAATTGCTGCTGCCTTCCCTCTGTGCCTTCTCTCTATGACCAGCCAGAGCTGGGAGGACAGCAGCCTTTCTAGCATCTCATGGTACCTCAAGGTCTTGAGAACCCCTGCTACCCTCTGTCACCCAGACAGGAGCAGTGTTGTCTCTCAGTAGAAATTCATTTACATCTGTCATTTGAGACTCATGAAGTCTTGACATCTAACCTGTAGTTTGTCATAAAACTAGTCTCTATAAATAGATCTTTGTGGGTGATATAGAGTCAGCTTTCACTCCTAAACATCAGCACAATTCTCTCCCCCGCCCCCTTCCTTTTGTTTTTATGTTACAAATCCTCATTGTGTAGTACAGATTGACCTTACTATATAGGGCTGGATAGCTTCAGGCTTGTAATCCTCTTTCCTCCGGTTCCTGAATACTGAACCTGCAGGCCTGTGCCAATATCTAGATGTCCCCTGGGGAGGGGTAAGGCAGGTGGTAAAGGTTGGTTTTAAACTGTTGTCTGAGGACCCAGCAGAGGCACCGATTGAGGTTGGAGCAGGAAACAAGACTGCACCAGACTGGTTTACTGTGGAATTAGTGCCCCTGCTGGCGCATCACAGTGCAGAGCTGGTAGGGGAGGGGGCAACTGGCATTGCAAAATTGCCACAGTCGCTGAGTCGGGGCTGTCCAGCTGGCACCGAGAAGCTAGAGCGCTGCAGGAGGCAGGTGAAGAAGAGGAAGAGCTCCATGTGGGCCAGGGGCTCCCCCCAGGCAAGCTCTGCGGCCTGTAGGTGGGAAAGGGGCTCAGTCAGTCTGGGGCCGAGACTCACAATTCAGGGCGTTCTGGGAAGGGGGAAGGAAGCCAGGTACCCCACAGGACCTGCTGAGAATGGCCTGAAGGCCTCATGTTTCACAAAGCGGCCCTGGGCATCCAGGAAGTGCTCAGGATGGAAGTGGAAGGGCTTCTCCCAGACAGTCTCATCCTTCAGCACTGAGGACAGGTTGGTGATGAGGGTCGTCCCCTGGCAGGAGGCACATGGTGTGAACACGGATGGGGACAGGGCTAACATGACTCTGGTCACCAAGATCACATGCACAACTTCTTCCTGCACACACTGGATTCTTTCATTCACCCTCATCCCCAAAGCCTCTCGGCCCCTCTCTAAGGCCATGAAGAGTCCTGTAAGGAATCTCCCATGGGTGCCCAAACCAAGACCTGCCCCTGTGCACAATGCTTTCTCAACTCCCTGTGTCTTATTCCACTGGACATTCCATTTCCCTGGAGAATCCAGGACTGGCTGCCATGTGCTCGCACCCAGGTTGGTCCCATCACCATGTGGAAACCCAGGATGATACGACCTTGACTGCCCTTCTTATGCCCATGCTATGGTAGCAGGGCTCAGGTGTGTTATGATTTTAGCCAAACCAGCATGGCTGGCATTTCCAGGTTCCAGGGCCACACATGTGTGGAGAAGCCCTCAGGCAAAAATATCTAGTCACCCCGGGGACCTTAAAAGGCCCTGTGTGACCCACGTACAGCATGATTGCATCACCTACATATAATGCAGCTACATAAGCCCTTGCACGCATGCGTGAGCTCCATCATCTGTGTATGGTGTAGCTACATCATCCCCCTATACACATGCACTAGGCAGCCTTTAAAAGCTGGACACGCCATCTTCAGCCCTCTGTCTCTCTTTCTGCACACTGACTTCACCAGGCCTGTACACGTCTCCTCTAATAAGCTCCTAAGTGGGTTTGCTGCGTGTTTCATGATTCCTTCTCACTCGCGCCAGGTAATTTCATTGGTGCCATGAGACTCGGTAGGCTCTCCCGCCCCTCTACCAGGGTCAAGATCCAGAACCGGGTATTTTTTTTTCCACAACAGCCACATGTTCCATCTGCCTAAGCCCAACCTCTCACACAGCACCG